TGTATTTAAAAATCGTTCTTGTTCACTTATCTTTGCTATTTTATAGTACTCTATTTTATGAATATAATATGATATATTTATTTAAGGAGCTCTGGTAGCATAGTGCCTAAGGCACTTGACTGCTAACCAGACAGCTGGCGGTTCAAACCCACCAGCCACTCCTCCGAAGGAAGGTTGGGCAATCCTACTTTCTTAGTGATACTGCCTCAGAAACCCAAGGAGGGGTCGCTATGAGTCGGGGCCGACTCGACGGCAAACAACAACAACAACAACAACATATTTATTTAAGTATTATAGAAGGTTTTCATGAGGAGTTTGATTGCTAAACACATAAATATCCATTTAGTTGGTGTTCTTGAAAAAATTAAGATGGGAGGCCAAAATAGCTAGCCACAAGTGGCTTGCTAAGCAGGAAGTCAGAATATGGGAGTGTGTCACATGATTATTACCTATCATAAGGCTATCAAGATCTAATGCATCCATTTGTCCAATGAGAGTAAGTATACCAGTGGAGTGAAGCAGATGCTCAAGTCAAAGTTCGAGGTCCTCTCTCCCCTGGTCAGTGCAGCCTCGGGAACATATTTTCACTTGTTCACTCTTCCAGTAGCCAGACGTACCATCCCCTGCCTTTTATGGGGGAAGACAGGCACAATTTGTAACATTTAAGCCTCCTAAATAAAGTCCAATGAAGCCTCCCTAAGGCTATGCATCCAGAGTGCTCTCTGCATGTTGCTACAGTCCTCATCACTTCCTCATGTCTGTTACCCAGGTTGTCTTCCCTCATTTATGTAACATTACTCCCCTCTCTAGGTATTAAGTTTGAGGTCTCTAGTATAGCTAGAGGGAGCTCTGGTGGAGTAGTACCTGAGGCATTTGACTGCTAACCAGAAGGCTGGTGGTTCAAACCCACCAGCCACTCCCCAGAAGGAAGGCTGGGGAATCTACTTCTATATTGATACTGCCTTGGAAACCCAAGGAGGGGTCACTATGAGTCAGATAGGACTCGATGGCAGTGTGTTACAATAGCTAGTTAGTGCCTTACTCTGATAGTTCCTAGGTTTTAGTGTAGACAGCAGATAGTTTGGGGATCCCCCAAGAAGAGAGGAGAAATATCTTGGGACTGAGAAGAGACCAAGGCCATTTTCCATAGGAATGAGTTTAGATGATGGTAGTTCCCTGCTCCAGTCATTGCATATGTAATCAACTCATTCTCCCACATCTAATTTTATCTTAAATCTCCCCAGTATCATAAGCACACTTTTTGTGTTCAACCAGTCAGTTAAAAAATGCTGTTAAGCCTTTGCTGTGTTCAGGGCACTTGCTATGAACTCTGGCCACAGAGTGAAAGATAGACCACCGAGGAATAAAGAAAGTGAACAAATTAACTCTATGGACAAAGCAGAGAAATGCACTCCAAAGAGATGAAAGAGAGTGAGAAAAATTCTGGGGATGGGACAAGGGCATGAGGAATGTAGCTGTCAATACTGTGCAGGGAAACTAAAGTCGTATTTTCCAATGTGAGATGGAGCAGATCTAGGACATTCTGGGTGGTGCAGATGAGTAAACATTTGGCTGCTAACCAAAAGGTTCAAGGTTTGAGTCCACCCAAAGTCACCTCGGAGCAAAGACTGGGTGATCTACTTTTGAAAACCAGCCATTGAAAACCATGCAGAGCACATTACACTCTGATACACGTGGAGTTGCCGAGAGTCAGAATAGATTGGACAGCTCCTGGTTTGATGTCTTTCGTTTTTAGAGGGGTTCTAATTTTGGAAAGAGCCCAGCTGGTGCAGTGGTTAAGCACACAGCTGTGAACCAAAATGTCATAAGTTTGAACCCACCAGCTGCTCCATGGAAGAAAGATATGGAAAATGATCTGCTTCTATAATCATTACAGCCTTGGGAAGCCTATGGGGAAGTTCTGTTTTGTTCTATACAGTTGCTATGAGTCAGAATCAATTGGATGGCAGGGGTTTTTGTTTTGATTTGGCTAGGTTTGGAGTCCATGTGAGGAACTAATATTATCCCCTTAAAAATTACCAGCAGGGCTGATTTGGAGATACTAGGTCAATATGGAGTTTCAAATTAGAATTCCTCTCTAGCTAAGGGCAGGACTATGTATACTGGCACAGACAGACAGAGATGAAGTGCCAGGAAATTAAGGAGAGAATTGGAATGGATAATTGAGAAACATCAATTATCCCTCTGCACTTTTCATTCACTACTGAGCAATGGTTATGTGTGTTAAAGGTGAAGCTAGTGTAAGCCACAGACTCAGAATGATTTACTCTCTTAAACTATGTGTCCAATAGGATGGCAATCTTAGATAGGGCCCTAGATTCAGCAACTAAAGATACAAGATGCTCTGTAAAATTTGCATTATTTCTAACTACCTATGCCTATGAGATAAAAGGAATGCATTGCATGGGATCCCCACCTCAGTGTACATATGCATCTCGATGTACATATGCAGAGGCAATTGGGAATACTTCTAACTTAATTGGCTTCTTGTATTTTTAGTTGCTAAATCTGGCAATATTAGTTTTGGATCAAGTTTAAAAGTTTGATGTTGACTCTTTGAACTGCCTTTGCTAAACAAAACTGGAATTTTCTGGTTGAAAAGATACTAGCCCCATTTGATATTAACAGAGAAGTCAACAAGCACTTTTCTTTTCATAACAGTCAGACCTCAGGTTAAGAGAATGACAGTAATTGAGCACAATATATGTCACCATATCTTTTTTATTTTTTTCCTATTTAAGAATCCTAGGGAGAAATGCAATTGTAATTAAACTTGACCAGATGTACATTACCTCAGAGAGGAAAATTATGAAGATAAAATACACTAGCAGCACCCAGTGGCTGTGAACCAGTTTAAACAGGTTATTGGCATTGCTCTTCCCCCTTTTGTGCATTACTTCTTGATGTTTTAGGGATTTCCCCTGTTCAATGAATGGGATGAGCAAGGCACCTGAAATATTACTAAAATCTCTGTTGGAATAACAAATTATTATAGGTTACTTGGCTGAATAAGGTGAATTGATAATCTCATAGAGACACGGATGGTGGAGAACAAACTTAATCGGTTCCCTGTTCTATTTTGCTAGCAGACGAAAGGTGATAAATATGTGATAAGACTTTAGCCTAGGCTACTACAAGCAAATTGGAAAAAGAATCTGAAAATCCTGGCCTCCTAATTAGAATTCTAATATTTCTTATGCTATAAGAATGGGGGATATTTTCTAATTAGATGTGCAAGTGAGGTCACTGACCATGACAAAACTCCAGCCCCATTCCACCCCTGCAACATAGGTTGTGGCAATAAGAATATTTTGACATCAGCTTTGGAACGTGGGACATGACAGAAGTTTCATACATTTCGACTTAGAGTGACAGAATTATAGAGATTTCCTATCTCAACTTCTTGCTGGATTTATCCTTCAAAGCATTGTAGATAATCATGTAATAAAATAATGGCTTATTGTCAGTATACGCAAACCAAGTGCAAATAAATTTCAACCTCTCTAATCATTTATTTTCTCTTACAGCATGCCACTCTTTGCAAAATGTACCCTTGGAATTCAAATAAAGAAAAACAAAGCTGTAGTTCATGTTTACTCTGGTAGTTGGAAGCCCTTAATGAAATTGTGGAAACTGAAAAAGCATCTAAATTATTTTCTTATGGCAGGTAGAATCAAAGCTAATATGTGGTGATGTGGTAGTATTTTTCTTTTATACTGCATTCAGTTTTTGATTATATTCTACATTCTGAAGTCAGGAAAATCTTCAACTTCAGAAAATGTGATTTTGTAGTTTATATTTGTATGAACAATGACTATGAAAATTACTTCAATTTAATCTTGCTTTTCTCATTGGGGAGCACAAAATACCACTTTCCTTTTGTTGGTAGCTATGCCCATAATAGGCAAAATTAG